ACTCAACCGTCTTCCCGAATTTATAGTGGGTACTCAACCGTCTTCCCGAATTTATAGTGGGTACTCAACCGTCTTCCCAAATTTAATTCAGGTTGTATATTTTGATTTTTTTTCTTTTCGTCACGTATTTATATGTTGTTTTTTTTCTTTTTTCAAGATACTTTTCTAACATTTTATTATTGTACTAAAGCTACAACATAAAACATGCAACGAGGCCCATAGTTTAAAACACGTTATCAATTTAGTGTGATTTCTGTACGTTAAAAATAATTTCTTGTTCGTGTAACAACAGTATCGATATTAGAAAAGTTTTTATGAGATTCGTGTTGCTATTTTTTCTTAGTTATATTACTTTATAGCTTGGAATTACACCAGTACTTCGAGAGTCTTTAATCTTCGTTTCTAACAAACAGCTAGATATGACGTCATATCCAAACTCGCGACAAAATTATTTCGATGTTCCTCCTAATTTTAACTGTAACAGAACGGAAAGAAAAACCCTATCAACTTGACCAATTGACCCAAAGGGCTAAAGGAAATATTATATGCATCACTGGAATTGTTTTACGCTTATGCTATTTTTTAAAGCACGCTGAAAGTTTAGCCACGTTTCGTTAAAGACATGCGCACTACGGTCAAATTGTGGACGGGATGGGATTTGGCAGCACAGTAACAATTGTTTGGTCGTGTTTGTTTTGAATCTCGTGCAAAGTTACTGAAAGGGCGAGCATGTTCGGCAACGAATATTGGAACCCGCGACCAGCATATTGCTTTAGCCATCAGGCCACGCCAGGCCTAGTACAGTGACAAAGATAGCACACTTGGTAAAGTCACTTGTAAAAAAAAGGTAGAAAGACGTGTGAAAAAAAACAAACGAATTCGAATATTAGTAGCATTTAAGCAACTATCTGTAGGTGGTGTTCTGTCAAGTATCCACTTTTGTCCCAATGTGAATACTGTTATCCAACGTCAAATAACAATATCTAGAATCAATAACATATTGTACAACGTAGGAACATTAGTAATTACTAGATGTACTTACCTAGGGTCCCCGAAGGTTTTCTGTTTCAGGAGTAGATAAAATCAAAATTAAGAGTTTCTTGCTCTTGAAGTTCATATGTCATTCTGTTTTGTAGCTAACAGAATACACAATTCTTCTCATGATTCATGGCATGCACGCGTTTAACTGACGTCACGACATTACATATTGCAACGTTGAGCGTCCCTTGTGTGACGTCATTTTAGTGTCTACTGCTTGACTGACAGACTACAAACTACTGTATACTGGTGTGAGTGGTTAAATAAGGTGACCCGACCTTAGGCCCCTTTTCGGGGAAGTTATGTTACAAAAT